AAACTTCGCAAGGCTATATTATCCGCATTTTACAACATTTCGTAATGGGTATTATAAAGAGTCGCGGGTCGTAAAAAAACTCCAAACCGTGTATATTTTATTGAGTCGCAGGTTGCATCAAGTGTGTAAAAATCACGTTATCATATGACGGTAAGAAAAAGCGTTGTAGATGGCTTGATGATGAGGAAATTGTCCATTTGCGTAATAGACTAAATTTTGATCTAAACAAGTCTAGACAAAAATTTCATCACAGCTTGAAAGAGCATCACAAAATTAGTAATATTCCTAAGTTTCGTTGCGAAATGTTGTAAAATGTGGATTATATAGCAACGAAACTTTGGAATTTCAGTCATTTTAGATTTCAAACGGGAAATTGTCTAGATCAAAATTTAGTCTATTACGCAAGTGGTCATTTGTCTTGAATCTTGACGACATGCAGATGATGAGGAAATTGTCTACTGTCTTTAATAATCAGTACTTTTCTGGCAATTGGTTCGGCAAGTAGTCTGATAACATTACTAATAATGGCATTGATCCCCTGAGCTTTGCGACTTCTGTATATGATAAATCATTTCATTTTAGAAATATTGCAATCACAACGGTCAACTAGCGAACAGCGAAAATTATATTACAAGTTCCTAGAGTAAACACTTCAACATTTCAGAACAGTTATTACTGCAGATCACCCAGGACTTTTAACTGTTTACCATCACACTTACGGCAGTCAAATCTCTCAATCAGTCAATTTAAATGCGGCCTTTAAATATTACCAAAAGCTTGTTGAAGAGGTCTACGACATTGATGTTCCACAAACGTTTAAAACAGTGTGTGTAAAGTGTCATTTGTGTCGTCACTTGTCCAGTCTTTCTGTCAAACTGTGTTGTCATTAGTTGCTGTTAACCCAGTGGAAATATCACTTTTTAGTGAGCATGTGAAATTTAAATTAAATTCCTTTTTTTCGATCCACATGATTAGAATTGCTCAGGACCACATTAAATCAAACGTCTCAGTGATTAGCGATTTTGAAGCGATATACCACTGTGTTAACCTATATTTCAGTATTGCATTAGCAGGTTACCCGTAAAGGAGCAACTAGCTCTGTGGGTTAAACCGGTCATGTGACAAAGATTGTAAAATAAAAATAAAAATAAAATAGCGCTTGTGCTTGGAGATTACCACCGAATTAGCGTGCTTGCTTGAACACATACCAAGCTCATGCTAGAATGCAAGCCAAGCACGTCGCGGTCACACTCAAAAATGTTTGCTGCTTGCATGAAGTTCATTTATATATTAAAGGCAACGAATACACATTATTCTTGTGATTTCGTAGGCTTAACTAAGTTTAGACTTTAGAACATATAGAGAAATGTGTCTTTGTCCTTAGTCCAGGCGCAAATCGCTTGCCCGATCGTTATTCATTATCATATTATATGTACTAAATAGAGATGTTAACATTGTATATTATATAATTACACGGGCAAAAACTAAATTACTTTGAAATTTTGAATTTGGTTTCTGTTTCAGGTTTCCATACAGAAATACCGTTTATTCATTCGACTCACTGCTTAGCGCGTTGTTGTGTAAGCAAAATAGTTGGAATCTACCGCGGTTCTGTCTCTATTCAAATTAAAAACATACCTACGAAGTCTCACGCATTATGCGTAGACACCATAGATATCTTATATACACTAGATAGCGCATCTCTTTTAGTAAAATTGAAGCCAAGAATATTCCAGCGGTTACTCCCATTTGAATAGATGGCGGCCATGTTGGTCGTTCCCACTTGCTAATAAACACTTAAAAACAACAATAACTTTCATTATTTGAATAGTTTAAAAACGTATTTGGAATAAGGTTAACTTAATGTTTAAGTTTCCTGTTTAAGAAATAGAAAACATACGAATATCTTCTCATTTCATGGGAACGACCTGAGACTGCAATCACGGCTTTAATTTTTGAATTGCAGAATAATTAGATGCACTATCTAGTGAGTAGTGTATATAAGATATCTATGGTAGACACACGCCTCAGCATATTTTCTCACGCTCACACGCGCAGTATTATTTATCTCACGCATGAGCTGCTTTGGCTGCTTGTGATTGAAAGAGTTCAATAAAAAAACGTAAATCTGTAGCAATGTGAAGTTTGGAAACCTGTGAAATGTTTTAGCGTTTAGTTTTTCTATTTTACACTATGAAATTGGTCAGTAAATTAATCTGGTGAATGCAGTAGACTGGGTAGGTGTTTAGTATCAGTGTGAATTTTCTGTCAACATCTCATTTGATGCCATATATTAAGCCTATTTCCAGTGCGATTACATTATCTGATTACAGTATCCAAGGTGCAGCAATCGTGAATAAATCGTGTCTTGGGAATGAAATGCTGGAAATTCCACATCAGAGACCCAAATTTTTAAAATTTTCCGGGGGAGGGCATTAGATTGCGTCCGTGGATGGCGTTTCACGCATACAGATCACTCCACCTTGGCAGCTATGTTAAAAATGACATGTTGAAATTACTTGTCTATTTGCCTCCTAAAACTCCACATTTTATTGACTGAATTATTTAATCCACTTGAGATCCACATTCTAGCACGATTCAAACATACCCTATAGTGTGTTTGGACCGTGCTTCGGCGCCTTTGAAATTTCAAGCAAATCGTGATTTCAAGCATGCTTGGGTTTTGTGTTTTGCGTGGTGACACTGGCAAGCGCGCTTGGAAGGTGATGTGTTGAGCGATTCAAGTGGATTTAGTTCAAGCAAGCACGATTCTAGTGTGATCGCGACCGCAAGACTATTAAAGATGCTACTCTTATTGTTGCTGGGCCATTGCTTAACATTTTAAATTTATCTTTACAAACGGCTATATTCCCCGACGACTGGAAGTTAGCTAAAGTTTCTCCAATCTTTCAAGAAGAAAACAAAAGTGATTGCGGAAATTACAGATCAATTTCTGTTGCAAATATTTTTGAGAAATTAATCTATTAGCAGTTAAGGTCATTTATCAGGCAGAAAATAACATTCTTGGGGGCGCATTTGTGAAGCAACAGTCTGGTTTCTGTTCCCAATATCTACGGAAACAACATTACTTAGTTCTACAAATGAATGGTTATATAACATGTTTAATAAGCGGCGTTTTATTTCTTGACCCTCATAAAAAAAGCTTTTGATACTGTTTTTCATGTAATCGTGCTATTAAAACTTGAACTGTACGGCATGGTTCAAGTTCACAATGGTTCAAATCGTACCTCAGATGTGGGGTCCCACAAGGCCCTAACCTTGGCCCTATTCTATTTCTCTTATTCATAAACGATCTTCCAAAGTGTTTGCAAGTACTAAAGCCAAACTATGTGCAACGACACAAATCTTATTACCTGCGTGGGACAAAGTCGCGATGAAATTGTGATGAAACTTTAATAAGGATCTCGAGAATATTAATCAATGGCTGTCGGCCAACAAATTGACGTTAATTAAATAAAAAGAAAACTGAATTCATGATAATTGGCTCCAGATATCACCTTGGCAATAATATTAATCTTTGAGTAGCTTCAAAAATTTGATAAAATAATTTGTGTGACGCCCCTCATGAAAATCATCCATGGGTGATGAGGGAAGCGTGGTTAAATAAAGTTCTACTATTATACTATACTATACTATACTATACTATACTATACTATACTATACTATATAAAATAATGTGTGCAACAGAGTCAGGCATGTTATTCTATATTTCATATTTAATTTATATTAGTTTTTAGAATGTAATTTGTGTGACGCCCCTCATGAAAATCATCCATGGGTGACGAGGGAAGCGTGGTTAAATAAATTTCTACTATACTACTATTAAACGTGTTTACGATAAAAAGTCCTTAGGAATTATTCCTGATGAGCAATTAAAGTGGGACAAACACAATGATGCACTATGCAAAGAACATTGCTGTTCTCAAAAGATCAAATCAAAACGATTTCTTCCAGGCATGAGTTAATAAAAATGTACAATGCTTTTGTTTTGCTCAACAATTTGGAACGATGGATCCTGTTCTGTTATTGATAAGCTATCGAAGCTACAAAGAAGAGCTGCGCGAGAGATTACTCGAGAGTCGAGACACTTATGATGTTAAGAAATATTGCAAAATCTTAATTGGACTCCAATTGAACAATCTTTAACAGATCGAGAAATGATGACATTTAAAGCTCTAACTGGCAGGTTACTGAACTGTTTACCAAATGTGAAAACAATATAGCTATTCTCTGAGAAGCAAAAATACTAAATTGAAACTCCCTAAACCAAAAAAAAATTTTCTGAAAATACATTTCTCATACAGAGCTGCAAAATCATGGAACGAACTATCTAGTGAAGTAACTAATAATCTACATCAGAAATCAATATTTTCTTTCAAGCTGCATTTACATGCACTAAATAATATTGTAAGCAGCATAAGCATATTTATTTAAAGTAATTTATATATATTGTTATAAGTGTGTGTACACGGCCCTTTGAAAACCTTAAACAGCAAGCGTGTATCACCCGCTGTTGAGGAAGCAAATTCCTTTAGCAGTGATGGAAACAGAAGCGTTGGATTCACGATGCGTGATGTTTATTTGGACGCTATTCCAAGAAGCACGATTACCAAGGCAACAACCAGCACTTGCACTCTCAATCCCACGGGGTGGAGCACTGATATGGCTGGAGCCAATCTAGTCGGAATAAGGGATGTGTTTGGGAGCGAGGCGTTTAAACGAGTGAAAACCTGCGAATTTCATTTTAAACAAAATCACAACAAGAAAGCTAGAGAACTTGACGAGGAAAGTGCAGAAGAATTTTAAAGATTCCATTTACACGGAATTCCATTTTATTGGAAGCTACATTAGAGAGTACAAAAAAGGGCCGTCGTCAGCTGGAACCGGTTCTTCCTCTGTACACAGAAACTATAGACGTGGTCTTGACCAGGCAGTGCGTTATGGAAGGGAGATAGGCGAGCTTGGAGAAAACCTTGATGGTGAATCTGCACATCGGCCCCTTCAGAAGCGTATAAGGGAAAAAGTAGTAAGCCCAAGAGGCAAGACAAAGAAAAAAGACAAAGCGAGTGTCTCCTGCTTCAACTTCATTTTCGTGAATTGCCCCAACAGCAGACAACAATAACCAGTTCCGTGGCTACACTTGATCGGCAACGGTCGAGCCAGACATAGTCAGCCCCGCCACACCATCTCAAATTGCAACGGTTAATATTCACCAAGGAGATCGCGTTTCCCATCCATTCCCGCCTCCCAACTTTTCAATTCGTTTTCCCACAACCCGAAACGATCCACCTTATTATGAACTTATTATATTACCGGCAACGAATGTTCGAAGATGTTATAGCTGCAATTGCGAGTTTGTAGATAAATTTAAGAAACTCATTAATAATTCATGAAGAAAACACAAAGAAAAATCATAAGCGTGTCGTATCTGTACATGTGATACAGATTCATGTTGATTTACATAAACTTTAACTTTGATTTTCTCGGCTTAGACAACGTTTATTTTTAAAATTTTCGACAATGAACTCATAAGATGAGTCGTTTTTTAAGCCATTTACAACATTCGCGTCCGTGTTGTATCGGATATACAAGAAATAAATAATATAAATATAATCTATTAGTCTACTACATAAATTACTCCCTCCGTGTAATAACCTTGACACCATTCTGAGGAACAAGCGTATAGGATTAATGTGACATTTAAGACAGAACGCTATCGAGTTTTATTACGTATAACGCATTGAAATCGTAGTTCTTATTAATATGGATTATCCTGTATAATTGGTATATAAGTAGTTTTAGTTGTAACACAGTAAGTAGTTTTATCATTCTTAGTTATAAATCAATAGTTAGTACTAATATTGTAACATTGGCTGCGATGTTTTATAGTAATACACTATTATCTATATCTATTAATGTAAGTTAGGGGACTAAAATAAAAGCCTGTAGAGGTTTCTAGTAGTCTCCTAGCCCTGTATTGTAATTATAATCGAAAATTAATGTAATTAGCTATTTTGGGCAAATTAAATAAAATTACAAAAGAACCATATAACTTATCGTTATCGTAAACTAAAAGCACGTTGATAGACGGATAGTGCAAAA